AATTTTTTGTCCTATTATCAGTAATTATAATAGCCACCAGTTCAGTAATTCGTCTAACGTCTACTGCTTTCCATCGCTCCATTATCATATTCATCCACATTGGAATAAAATTTGTGTAAAATGAAAAATTGTTGACATTATATTTTTACATTTTGAAAAAAAATATATATATGTATATAATTATACTACCATTGGAGAAAACGAACATGAATTAAATAAAAGTATGCATCAGCAATAATTGGGAGATATCCACAAGCGAAATGCGGATGTTTAATCCATCATCTGCATTTCGCTTCTGGATATATAATCTGAAATCTGTAGTGGGTTATCATCATAGCTGACCTGAAAACAAAATGTGTACATTACTTGACAAATTAAGTTTAGTTGATCAAACGGATATTACTAAAACTATTTATTTCAGTTATGAAAATTATACAACCATGAGTTAAGAAGAAGACTAAGTCTAAGTTTGTTAAAAATATTACAATGTGAAAGGATCCCAGCCATGTAATGGGAAATCAGATGAGAATACAGACATAAACGATTAATGCAAAACATGTGAATACTGTAGACAATATGTTAGTGTATAATCCTATTGAGACAAGTCAAGCTCAAGCTTCAAATAACGTATACATTAACCAGCTGCTACGGTATTAGTACTGATATATTACACTTCGAAATATATGAAGTCGAACAGTAATTGGGGCTACTATAATACCTATATCAATCAATCCTATCAGTAAATAGTAGCATTTAAACTAAATACAAATATTTTTCTACGTGAACTATCCTATGTTAATCACTTTAGTAGGGGCAGCGATGCGCCACGGGTCCAGCTAGTATTATATAATTTTTCCGTCAGTTTATTATTTTTTGTTTGTAAATTCGATATTGGATCTCGTTTTATTCTTCTATATGTGCACACATCTCGTAATATTGTTTGAATTTTAGCTTCGTAGTAATCATTATTCATCGCAACAGCATTTCCCCCTCATAAGCATTCAATATTTAAACGTCTTTATTTGTGTCAATTATAAGTTTTTCTCTAATACTCAATAACAGCTATCTTTGAAGATGAAAGTTTCTTTTGCATATGTTCTATTACATCCAGTTAAAGCTGATGAAAATGTAATAGTTGTATCACCCAGCTTAAGAGCATTGTCCGCGCAGACAGAAACTAACTAATTAAGGTACGGCGCAAAGCTTAATTAACTCAGTACAGGCGGGTGTCGCCGATCTGCCCACGAGTCACGCCCCGTCGTTATCCTGCGACCGTGAGCAACAATCTGGTACAGATATGGGTGTCTTGGCATCTGTAGTCCAAAGTATAGCTACAAGTATGGCTGACTTCCAAAATGTATCAATGCAATGTTTGTATACAATAATACTACGGTATTTAAACTTTGTGCACATGTAAAGTTACCAAATATTGCAACTATGAAATTTGCAAGCATTTACAATATAAAATAAATGTGAAGCAATCTATCACTAACAAATCAGCTGTTCTATGAAATAAACAAATATGTATGGAAAGCGCGGCTGTTAACAATTATTTGGCAATATTTTTGTAATTTATTATTGCCAAAAAATCCGGACAAGCTTCTATGAAAGAAAAAAATGTTTTTTAATACTGGCTAAATAATGAATAAAAGAACGATCTTTTCAATGAACAACGTTAAACATACTTTTATTTGTTACACATATTAACATTTTTACTAAAATTACTTTTGCGATTTTGCCATTAACTTTCATTTCATTGGATATTTAATTTTGTGCTCGTAAACAAACCAGAGAACTACAACAAGCCACAGAAAAACGTAAGTTACTTAGATAAGCACAAGTGTTTTGGGTGTCAAGCCTTTTGAGTGCAACTATTTTTTAATAATTGAATATTTTTTTACACCCTAACAACATCAATTGTTTGACTTTATGATCACCGCTAGAGTATGACAGATTAAAAGGAATACTACACTCACAAGTGATAGTACAAGATTTGTCAAGGGGCAAATTATACTCAGTTCTTGTTGTGTTGAGTCGTTTCAGATCGTACACCTCTTTGCTTTGGAAACGATTTAAGGGCAAGAGCTTCCTACATTGTAATAAAAAACTTTTATAGTTGAAAATTATTTAAGTGATTATTTATACTCTTTCGAGTCGAGCTTGATGATCTAAATTTTGCAATGAAAAGGAAAGCCAGGAGAAGAACCTACGTACCCACCATTATGCGACGCGTTTCGCCGTTGGTTAAGCGGCTCATCAGGCATATTGGGCTATGTGGCTTTACAAAGGTCGTACGTTGATAACTTGTATTTATTCCGCCCTGATGCGAAACTTGCATATGTGAATTAAATTCAAATTTGTCAAAGTTCGACATTTGTCTTCATTCTAGGAACAGTCCTTTTCAAAGCAGATTTTTCAAATAACAAAAATGAAAATTATTTATTTATTTTTACAAAAACAAAGTCGTAAAAAATAAAGCAAAAAAACAAAACAAAAAAAAAACTCAAAATATCTGTAAAATGATTGTGCTCAAATCAAAAAAAATTTATTGCGAAAATCAAAAACATGCGCATAACAGAAAACTCAAAATATCTGTAAAATGATTGTGCTCAAATCAAAAAATTTTATTGCGAAAATCAAAAACATGCACATACAAGTCACTCAAGAATACAAGTCACTTTTTCTTCGTTTCGATCGTTTTGCTTATGCTCTCGAAGAGCATAAGGCGGGCGGTTGAGTAACAACAAAAAATAACAACACTTGATGTGCCGAGATCAATAGACTAAGACAAGAAATTTAACCAAGTGCGCAAAACGACACGACAAAACATTCCCGAGTGTCAATGAATTCGTTATTCAAGTGTGCAAAACAAAAACAAGAATCAAAATAAGCCATTTGTTGTTGTTCTCTAGTACATAGAAAAGCAAAACAGACGTAACAGCAATTGAAATATAGTTATAAAAATACATGAATGCTTTCTCATTCACATTATTTACACGATACTTATTTATGGGATTTTTGAGCGCGTATTTCGACCGAATTCGCTAAAATTTGGTACATTGGGTTCTTATTAGGTAGCGAATTTCTGCACTAAAACTATAAATATAGGTAATTTTTTTGTGGCAACCACCATATAGCCTCCAGGACCCTACACATACAATTTTTTTTCTGCAATGACAATTTTCATATTGAACAAGCAGTTTCCACCCCAACACTGAAATAAAATTCTGTGTACGTTGATGATTGCCTCATATAACTTTGCCCTCTCAATTGCAGTATTATGAGGATTTTATACACATGTTTCACCATACTACGCCAAAATGGATTTTAGGAAAAATCTACATTAAAAACTGCTGATATTTGTATTTAGTTTACATTATGGTTTACAACAATCGCTTGAAACAATTGTTGACATAGGTATACTTTTTGTTATGTTCCGTATATTTTCATTTCAAATAACTATCAGTATACCTATGGTGGATGGTACCTAAAGTTCGGTCTGGCTGAACTTAACGATTTTTCACTTGTTTTTGAAAATATTAGACATATCTCGTTTATGTTTTTCATTCGTGTTAAAAAAAATAATAATAATTGGTCAATCGAGCCGGATTCGATATATTTGATCCTTCAAGAGAAACAAAATAGAACCAGCGTTTAAAAAAATCTCTTTAAATTTTTAAAAAAAATTATTATTAAAGACCCCTGCGGCAAATTAAAAAATTAAAGACCCCAGTGGCAAATTAAAGACCCCTGCGGCAAAATTATAGACCCCAGTGGAAAACTAAAGACCCCAGCGGCAAATTTAAAGACCCCAGAGGCAAAAATAAAAAAGACCCTTGCGGCAAATTTAAAGACCCCAGAGGCAAATTAAAAAAAGACCCCAGAGGCATTTAGAGAACTAGAAAAGACCCTTTGGGCAACATAAAAGAAATAAAAATCATATTATTAGAAAAGACCCTTTGGGCAACATAAATAATAATAATATTATTGGAAACGACCCTTTGGGCATGAAACGAAGAGTGTCGCATAAAGAAGGATGACAATGCAGCAACAAATGAAACAACAGCAACAAGAAAGAGCACTCATATCCCTATTCAGGAAAAAGGCTAACAAACTCGCCGATGCCCTTGAAAGTGATATGTTTGGAAAACCTAGAAAGGTTTTGGAATATTGGAAGGTATCGTGGGAGAGACAGAGGGATGTCTTAGAGAAACTATATTTCGAACTCCCAAACGTGCATTTAATGGAAGAGGTAGAGGAGGAATTTGAAGAAGTTGATGCCAAGTTTGACACCAAAATCCTGGAGTTAGTAAGCATTATAGATATAGTAGATGACTTACAACGGCTGAATGATTACGAGCACTTCATCCCCCGGAAGCTCCTCACATTGAAGGAAGAGGGAAAGCGGCAAGCAATGAAATGAGAGTTTCGAGGGACAATAATCAACAGCAGCAGCCACTACAGGAGCTCGTTTCCACGACAAAAGGGTCTACGATCCAAGACACACAAAAGCAATAGGGCTGCTACAACAACAGAGAAGTTTACGATCCGTAGCGATCCGAATTGCACTCGAGCGCCATTATCACAGCCTCCAGGAAATGGTTTCAATAATGTCTTGGCCGACATTAAAATGGTAGATGTGAAACATGAGAACAAGCATGACGCATCATACTCAAACATCACAAACGAAAAAGAAGAAGTCGAACAGGAAAGACAACAAGAGAGCGCACAAATGATGGAAGGCCTTAAGCTGGAAGAGTTGGAGCCCGAACAGCCTGGGAAATTATTGGGCCAACAATTTAGGAGCTTCCAAAAACAAATGCAAGCCATGCAGTAACAAATTCAGCAATTTCAAAAAATACTAAAAGAGAAAAGGCTACAAGAACATTACGAAATTAATGCTTCTTTTGATGTATCGCAAGCAAGTTCATGTGATTATTCCATGTCACAGTTCAAAGAGGACGAACCGGCATTTGTGGCCAAAGAAGAGGCAAGCTATAATGAGGAGGAATATTCTCAAGAAATGGAACAAGCTGCATCACAGAAAACAAAACAATGATGATGACAATAATGAGGATGACGAAGATGATGAATATATGCCATTGGCAGCACGTGAATCCAAACAACACCAACATCATCAAGAAAACAAGGACGAGCATGAAGAAGATGACGACGAAGAAATATCGCTAGCCAAGCGTAAAATCAGAGCCGAAGAATATAATGAAGAAAGTGAACGCAGTGCGATTCTGGAACGTGAGGAACACTTACGAGAACGTGAATATCTTGGACGAGAAGTGAGCACATCAGAATATCCCGGTTCCAGTGATAGTCGCATGCGTGCCGATCGCCGAGAGATTTATGCCGAAGATGATGTTTCCCCCGAACAGGTGAATATATATTCTACCATTACAGGTCCTGGAAACTTGCGAACGGAACAAATATCGCCTGGAGACGACATAGTAGGGGGCGGAGTAGGTTCACCACAAAAGGTAGTCGAAAAGTAGCAGGCTTATCAACACGACAACAATCAATTATCCTACAATCAACTGCTGGAGGTGGTCCTCCAAAATGGAGTGGGATTAATACTTGGCAGCAACCATCATGTACAACAATTAAAGTTTAAGAAAAATTGTAACAAATATACAGGCATATCATAGGCATATCATATATAGAATAAATTATTTTGCCGCCCTGGAGAATGTTCATAAAAATATGAACATCATATTTGGTTGAATTAGTTTAGGAGGTTTTAAACATTTACATATGTCGTAAATAATAGATAAGCAGTCCTAAATTCTATTTGTATGTGCATGTATGCACATAATGGATGATAACACTTCACGCTGCTGAAGACGCATAGCTAATAAAGGATATATCCATACACATGCGCTCAGCGGGTGAGAAAATAGAGATCACTACAATGTGGTTTTATAAGTGGGTGAGCTGAAGAATTAATAGCAGCCCACGCACAATGATATTGGTGTGCTCATTTAGTAATGTAAACAAATGAGCATATGTTATCTCTAATGTGTATTAGGCTTAGTTAGATTAGTTTAGGTAGTTATTAAGGAATAATTTTAAATAATAGAATTAGAATTGAATTGACATTCGACCTTACAAGTCCTCTGTAGTTTCCTTTCTCCCACTCCTTTATAATAATCTATATATATAAAAATGGAGCAAGAAAAATGTATACTAACGCATCAATTGAGAACGGCTGGACCGATTTCACTCAAAATTTCTTTCAGTTGTCGGTAATTACAGTGGGAAGGTTTTTATGAAAGAAAAGAAAAGGGACATATAAGATGTAATTAAGAATCCTTCAAGAAGGGACAAATAAGATAATGAAAAAACGTTGGAGCAATAACAAAACATGATTTTCTATTAAAAAACATTTGTTATGTGCTTGGGCCTGCATTGGGATACCAGTTAATACTTTTTATTGACATAAAATTAGTGGCAAATGTTTTTTACCAACCATATATTGATGCAATATTGATAGGGCAAAACAACGTTTGCCGGGTCAGCTAGTACAATATATATTTTAAATCGTCAAATATTTTTGTTGCCCACCGAGTCGAAATTAATGATAGAAACCGATGAAAATATATATATATATATATATATATTGATTAGTGGGCGAATTTTAAACCATATTTTGTTGTACGAAAGGTCCCCATGCTAGGAGGAAACTTAGTATGTGGCGATCTTAAGCGATTTGCCGAGCCTCAACAGCTTTACAACTGAAATGAAATATTTTATAAATTAAATGAAACCTTTATTTTTGTCCATGAAAATATAAAAATTCAAATAGTTTTAAATTAACATTTAAAAATTAAATAAAATGATATTAACAAATATAGTTAGTAGTAGTTCTGTAATAGTGAATTTGTGATTGATTTAGGTTAAAATAAATATACTTTAATTTAGCGAGATTTTATCAATTATATTTATTCCACACAACTACAAAATAATACAAACTGGGATACCTTTTGAAAATATGTTTCTTTTGACGTGCTTTGCGTTTATTATTTATTAGTTTTATATGTTTATAGAGCAAGTATTGATTTAATATAATTGTAGATGATATTGTAAGTTGTTTAATCTAAATGATTCCCGAATTGTAGATTGTGGAATATTTAAAATCGGGTACATCGCGTAGTTAGAACAATCATACCAAGTAAGATGTTGAATACTTAGCTCTTTCACATCATCAATGTTATGTCCAATTGAAATGTCACAGAGCTCAGTTCTTGCGCAGGACTTTATTTTGAGAATGCCTTTTAGCATTGGATTGGAATATAAGGTTCCTGCTTAGATAGCTCACAAAGTATATATGCAAATCTTGTAGCATTATATTACTTGAATAGTGAAGCGACATTTTCATCAAATTCATCAATTATATTAAAACTATATTTCGCATTTTAAACATATATTTATTAAAGCAAAACAAAGAAATACCCAGATTGCTTAATTTTTTAGATTTAAATAGTAAACATATTTTATCAATCTCAAGAAAAAATTAAGCACAAGTCCAGTAAAGTAAGTATTATTCATTACACATTTTCTGAGGACTCTTGAAGTAGATGCAGAAATAGATGAGATACTTTGAATTTAAAAAATTCCTTAATAAGTGTGGTGTTTTTCCTTATGTATATATTATTATTTGATGGCAACCCTGAAATATTAAATTTTCCCTAATGGATACAAATGTATCTTTGGAACTAAATTCTATTCGTTACATTACAAGTAACAGCCTTTTACATTCTAGTTATTGTTAGCATAAAGCACAATCATTCTAAGTATCAACCAGTACAAAACGTTCGATCTCCATTTTTATATTTTACTAGCTGACCCGTCAAACGTTGTTTTGCCTTATCAATATTGCATCAATATATGGTTGGTAAAAAACATTTGCCACTAATTTTATGTCAATAAAAAGTATTAACTGGTATCCCAATGCAGGCCCAAGCACATAACAAATGTTCTTAATAGAAGATCATGTTTTGTTATTGCTCCAACGTTTTTTCATTATCTTATTTGTCCCTTCTTGAAGGATTCTTAATTACAATGACATTTTGTTCATGCCCAACTGTTCTTTTGATGTTCATATTGAAATCAGTATATAACTCGAAAAATTTTAGTTTTGGCATAGAAATTTAGTGGTTTTCGCCCAGTTATAGGTATATTTCGTTTTTAAATAAATTGTTAATTAGTTCTCAGATTGCCGTTATAGATTTGTATATGTTTGCTATATCTCTTCTCTCTATATATATAAAAATGGAGCAAGAAAAATGTATACTAACACATCAATTGAGAACGGCTGGACCGATTTCACTCAAAATTTCTTTCAGTTGTCGGTAATTACAGTGGGAAGGTTTTTATGAAAGAAAATTTTGAGAAAAATTGGCGAAAATCTTGCAAAAATTATTTTAAGGAAACGGCTGGACCGATTTGACTTAAAGTTTCTGTTAGTAGTCTGTAATTGAAGTTGAAACGGTTCAATGAAAGAAAATTTTAAGAAAAATCCGCGAAATTGTTGCAAATATATTTTGGATTTCCACACGTTTTATATCGAACTTTTATGATTTCACCCCTTCATAGTTCTTTTTGGACACATTTTGGGCGAAAATTGGCAGCGTATAATATCTTAAAGTAATTGTCAATTATGGAAAATTCTCAAAATATGTCAATTTTTTACAATTAAGGGAACCTTAATTGAGAATATGCACAGAATCACTTTTTAAGTCGATTTATGCATGTCCGTCTGTCCATGTTAAATTGTAAACAAAGTACAGGTCGCATTTTTGATTCGAATTGGATGAAATTTGGCACAGCTCATTTATATGGCCCAAGGACGACCCCTATTGAAATTGGGAAAAATCAGTTCAGATTTAGATATAGCTCACATATATATTTTCGTCCGATTTTATGTAAATTGTGCACCAAAGTCCTTATATAACTTTCGATTTACATGAAATTTGGCATAGCGTACTAAATAAAGCCTAAATTTCGTGAAAATCGGATCAGATTCAGATATAGCTCCCATATATATTTTCGTCCGATTTTAGGTAAATAGTGCACGAAATTTGGTATAGCGCGTTTAATTGAGTCTAGAATGATGTGTGCTATGATTCGTGAAAATGGGTTCAGTTTTAGATATAGCTCACATATATATTTTCGTCCGATTTTTTGTAAATGGTGCACCAAAGCAAGAAATTTGGCATGTCGTACAGAATTGAACCTAGAATGATGAGTGGTAAGTTTCGGGAAAAAATTCGATATACCTACCATATATATTTTCGTCCGATTTTATGTAAATGGTACACCAAAGCTCTATATAGCTTTAGATTTGCACGAAATTTGTCTGTCTGCCCATGTTATATTGTAAACAAAGTACAGGTCGCATTTTTGTGACGTACAGAATATTATGTATCAATTTTACTATACACCGTTTTCCATAAATGTGTCCCATGGTACGCAGACGACACTAAATTTGCCCGAATGAAATTAAATATAGCATAGGTTGTAGAAAGACATGAGTATGTTCCTTCGAGTGAACATTGACATGCAATTGTAAGGGTACATATGCACAGATTTAATGTAACTATCCTAAATAGGATATTAGCAAAATTTGACGTCGCTACATCGTTGCACTCGGTAGATACGGTACCTTATTTCCGATAAATTAAAGTCCAGTATCAACAAAAAAATGCATTTTTTAGAATTTTGATATGCGTCGTCTATAATCAGCTCATAAAATATGTAATCCAAAAATATACATTTACTTGCCGCGTATTAAATAAAAGCTCTAGAACATTTTGTTGCCTGTGGGCAACATTGGGCCATAAAGGATTAAACAGCAACTTACTCAAATGTTAAATTAAAATGAAGTTGTTAAAAATATGAGGATATAGCAAATCCGATTACAACATTTTACGATTTAGAGTTAAGATATAAAATATGCATTTACAATGATCGCATTATTAGTATTAGAACATACATGAACATATAAATTTCAATATACAATAGTTTTTTTTTGGCAATGACAATGCAATTAATTGTAGAAAATTAACATATTTTGAGAATTTTCCATAATTGACAATTACTTTAAGATATTATACGCTGCCAATTTTCGCCCAAAATGTGTCCAAAAAGAACTATGAAGGGATGAAATCATAAAAGTTCAATATAAAACGTGTGGAAATGCTAATATCTTCCAAAATATATTTGCATCATTTTCGCGGATTTTTCTCAAAATTTTCTTTCATTAAAACCTTTCTACTTCAATTACAGACTACTAACAGAAACTTTAAGTCAAATAGGTCCAGCCGTTTCTTTAAAATAATTTTTGCAAGATTTTTGCGGATTTTCTCTTTCATAAAAA